TTATACTCATTGTATTATTTAATTAATTTATTAAATTAATTTAGTCCATTCTGAACAGGAAAATCCTCTGGTACAGACAGTAAATATTATATATTATAAATATAAAAATTTGTCATTATAAAATATTTTAATTTTAGTAACATATATAATCGTTCTTGCATCTCTGTGATACATCGTACTTTTGCGTAGAACGCAAACGTCTATGTGGAAGCGTAACAGACGCGAGAAAGAAATTATGCGTGCGTTTTCCTTATAGCTCTAGATAGAGAGGCTAAATGACCATTGTAAGAACATAGATAGCATATTGATACAATCGCAAGTAAATCTCCAATCCCAAGCACACAAATAGTTACTTATAATAAATTACTAATATATGTATTATATATATATATGTAGAGTATATAATCCCAAAAGTAGAGAGAGCTAATTGCTAATATCTTAATCGCCGTATTAAGTAAATTCTTAAGTGTTCGTATGCGATATAGATATTATTTACATTGTAACAAGTGAAATGATAAAAATTGATACAAATTTATTATGCGAAACATTATAAACTCCGTATCTTCAGAATCTCTAAGATACTTTAAAAAATTTTTTAATACTTTTTTCTTTTTTTTTTACGAATATAAAATCTTTATTTCGGATAGAAATTATATAGAGCTCATGGATAAAGCTGTATATTAATTATTTGTAATCGGAATATGCTAGTATTATTCGCTTATTCGCGACATTTTTCTTGATACTCATGACTCAGTTTCTGTCAACGAATAGCAATAGTGATAGATCTATATGAAAACTAATAAAACTTAAGCGTCAGTCCGGCAAATATATGTATAAAAGTTTCAGAATAATTTTTTGTTGAAAAATATTTATTGGTATTTTATATATTAAAATCTTTATTTCGGATAGAAATTATATAGAGCTCATGGATAAAGCTGTATATTAACAATTCTGTGTCGCATAAACGGATAAATATTTTTTTCAAAATTGAAAAATCGAACTAAACTTGCGCTTGAATCGAACCTTGAAGAAATTTTTGAGATTTTTCAAAAACAGAAATATTGTGAGAAATCGATCGTGCTGTAGCTGGCAGTGACGATTTGCGGAATCGCCAACTTGGTAGCAGAATTGTCAGAGTGACGGAGACAAGCAAAAAAAGAGAGAAAAAGAGAGAATATGTGTAATAGTGGCAGCGAAGGGTGAAGGGGAATAGAGAAAAATAGATGGCAGAGAGAGAAAGAAGGCATCATATAGAGAGTAAGAGAGATAAAAAGAAAAAAACACAGAGAGAGAGAGAGAGAGAGAGAGAGAGAGAGAGAGAGCAAAATAGGAGCGATGAAGAGGAAAGAAGATAGAGAGTTATAAACATGCAGAGAGAATGAGGGAGATAAAGGGGAAGAGAGAAAGAAAGACAAGTAGAGGAGAAAGAGAGATAGCGGAATAAAGAGAAAGAGAAAGAGAGACGATAGTGAGAGGAGAAAAGAAGAGGGGGTGTAGAATCGAGAGCGCTGCGCAGAACCACGACAGCATCGTCGTGGTCTCATCGACCTAACCTACTTTAGATATATATATATATATATATCGAAAAAATTTGCCGCCAAGACAAGCGGCTGAGATATCCTATATATTCTTTTTTCAATTTTCTTTCATGTCTTCTTTCCCAATTGATTTTATCGTCTACGTCAGTATTGTTACTACCACCAGGCGCTATTATTATTTGTTCTTGGCTTCTGAATATTTTACAAACAATACTATTATATACATCTATTTTTGGCAAAGTTCCTCGCTCAAAGGACAATAGAAAGCACTGCCAATTACTTTTGAAAAATAAAATATACTTTTGCGTGGCGAAAACGTGGTGAAAACATTAAATACTATGGTTGACATTTTATCTGTTTCATATATTCCATGATTATTATACAAAGTCTTCTATATCTCTCGGTTTATCCTTTACATTCATGGATTCTTTTATTAATTCCTTATTAAAAACATAAAAAAAATTATTATTCGTCATAAGTTCGCCATTTTTAATCTTAGATATTTTTTTAAGTAATTGCAAAATTAAAAATGATTTTTTTTTTTTTCAAATTAGATATGAAGATTTTGCATTTCTGAAGTTTCTTCTTTTTGAAAAAAAATAGCTAACTTGAAAACTATTGATCTCTCAAAATTTTTGTTGAAAAATTTCGAGGCTATTAAGAAAGAGAGAGAGAGAGATAAAACTCGATTTCAAATTAATCAAAAAGAATACATATATAAAATATGTCTAATGCATACATAAGTGGTCTCATCGACCTAACCTACTTTAGCGAGGGACGCCTGCACGAGGTCGACGTCGACGTCGACGTCGTCCGAGGATGTTCGACGACGATGATGGCAACGATGCCACTAAGCCTAGCAAACTAACGGAAATTTTCTAACGCGTTCTCATATCTACAGCCTGTTTCTCTCGTCTCTTCTCTGCAATATCGTTGTCTCTTTACCTTTTCCTTCTATTTTTCATTCCTGTCAGTTGTCAGTGTCCTGCCCATGTCTTATTTCTATTGATTCTACATCATAATTTTATCCTTCTTTCATTTTTAATTTATAATCCTTCATACCCTAAGAAATATATGGATAAAAGGATGAAAATTCACTTTGCGGAATTGAATTCCATCGTGGTCTCATCGACCTAACCTACTTTAGCGAGGGACGCCTGCACGAGGTCGACGTCGACGTCGTCCGAGGATGTTCGACGACGATTATGGCAACGATGCCACTAAGCCTAGCAAACTAACGGAAATTTTCTAACGCGTTCTCATATCTACAGCCTGTTTCTCTCGTCTCTTCTCTGCAATATCGTTGTCTCTTTACCTTTTCCTTCTATTTTTCATTCCTGTCAGTTGTCAGTGTCCTGCCCATGTCTTATTTCTATTGATTCTACATCATAATTTTATCCTTCTTTCATTTTTAATTTATAATCCTTCATACCCTAAGAAATATATGGATAAAAGGATGAAAATTCACTTTGCGGAATTGAATTCCATATTTTTGAAATCGCGAATTAGCATCTAAATTTTTGGATTCTCCTCTATTAATCTCTCTCTCTCTCTCTCTCTCTCTCTTTCTAATTTTGGTTACATCAACTCGTGTTCTTTATAACAGATTTGAGAAAGAATATTTTTATTTTGATCTTTTACCTTTCTCTTTTTTACAGAAACTGTTAACGTTAAATTTATCCAATAAATAACACTTGGAAAACGAAAATAATATTTACAATTGTTTTAAAGACGTTCACGAATATCGTAATTGACAACGGAAGAGATTTATATTCATAACTGTGTTTTTGTCAATGTGTCTTCCTCCACAGCAGACGATTTATTATTTTGTATAATTTCTGACCTAGAGATAAATTAGTAATGATGTTTTGAATATAAACAATGGAATTTCGTGTGGTAAACCACGTTAACGTGAGCATTATAAATTTCATTTGTTATTCATTCAATACGCATTCGCGATTATTATAAAAAGTGAGTGAGAGAAAAGTCTCATTTTATTTAATTATCTCAAAAATTTCATTAGCCTTAAATTTGGTAAATCTAATATTAATTGAACATCGTATCAGTGAAAAGATTAAAATTTATTATATAAGTATTATATATATGAAATACATACACATTTTCACACATAATACTTATATAATTTATACGTATTAGAATATTATTTTCACATCATCTTTACACAGCGATATAGTCCACATTTTTATTAACTATTTAAAGTCAATTTTTCGATCGAATGTGTACGCGTGCGACCTCATAATAATGTAACAGGCCTCATAAAAATATAAAAATAAATTTTGTAATGATATTTACATCTCCATTAATCAGAATTAAATCTGCTGCTAAATTGCAAACGGTCGAAAAAACGTCAATGTTGGTGACGTCATATTTGCTAGCATATATAACCGCGCCTGACTCTTTTCTTCCACGACATTAACTGCGGAGAAGTCGCTGACTCGGATTGGAAAACGTTATGCCGTGATCGGGCGCGCCTTCTCCTGCGCGAATAGAGCGACCGAAGCGGCTAGAGCTTGAGTCATAGAGAGTGAATCATGCGTTATCCGCTATCCGCTCACCGCCTAGGACACATTCTTACGGGATTCCTCTCTCACGTTAATGCGCCATTTACAGTAATGCATGATAGTGCACTATAAAGCGCTTATAAAAAAACCATGTAAATAAAAAATTCAATAACAATTCAATATTAAATTAAATCGTATTTGAATTAAATATAGAAATATTCTCCAATTGTAAAAGGAACTAATTTTACTTATTTATGTGTGTTTCTAATTATATACATCATTGTAAAATATTATTGAGGGTAGGGTTGTAGATTCATGATATAATAATTTATGCTTTTCTTAAATTCAATCTTAGAGAGAAAGAGATATATATATATATATATATATAAATTTTACAAAAGATGCATATATGATTAGCCCAAGAAAAACTTAAAAATGATTAAAAGAAAAATCATTTCAACAATGGTAAGAATGAAGCAATGAGAAATCCAAAAATTGCTTAGAGAAACGTCGTTTCTTTCCCCAATCTCTCGAAGATTAAGCCAGACGCAAAAACGACAGGAGTGTATTTAGAAAACGTGCAATTCAAAGTTTAAAAAATACAGGACATTTGCTGTGTAATTGAAAATGTAACTGTGTAACGTTGTTGAAGTATGAAATGTTTCTAGAGTGAAAATTTAAAATTTGCTTGTACTAAGCAGACATACAGAAATGACTGCATGTACGAAGAGAGTCAGTGTACAAGAAGAATCTATTCGAAATTAAATTTAAACTTTTTAACCGTATATATGAATGCACGTATGGTGAGATATTTTGAATACTTTTATATGTCTCGCATTTTGTTTTCACAAAAGTTATTTAAACCACTATTTTAACGAAAATGTTACTATCTCTCTCTAATCTCAAGATTATATAAAATAAAAAATAATCGATTACTCACCGCGATACGATGCGCAACGGTGAGATTGTAGTGTCATAACGTTACTCTGCAAAATACAAATAAATTCTAATAAATTATAACGTTCAAAATATTTAATATTTCTAAACATAATTATATTGCGCGCAAAATTAATTTTTTATTCATTCCTTTTAAGACAACTATTCAATAAAAAAAATTATATAATTCTTGAAAAAAATTCTTATCGAATATAGATGTTTAGAAAATATGGTGAATAAAAATCTAATTCTTATATCAAAATAATTATAAATCTTAAATTTACAATATTGAAATATT